CCGTCACTTAATCGATAATCTTATTTATCCGTTTCAAAAAGCTTTCACTCTGATTATCGATAACCTGATCGAACAACCAGTGATCGATCAACACTTCGATCAAGAATGTCCAAATTATTATTCTGCATATTTAACAGACTTTTGATTCCATCTGAAAACAATGAATAATCATTTTATCATCTGTTCAGCTCTACCCTAAGGTTTACATTGCAAAGATTAACTTATTGAAGTTAAAAGTGTTGTTGCAGAATACGAAGAGAAATCACAACGGCTCTTCAACAACGGCTCTTCAACGGTTGATTACGTCGCCTGTAACCTGCTGTGTCAGAAGCCCAGAAGCATTAATGCCGGAACCGTTGTAACTGAGAAAACACGCAAACAGAGTCACAACGGCTAGAAGCTCTTCTGTCTAACGATTAGTTAACAACCTCAAACTATAAAAGGCGTGAAGAAGCATTAATGAACGGAATTGAATATCCCAAGCTCCATCTATGATCATTTACTATTACATTCAATACTCTGTTCTTTCAACTTTACTGAGCATCAGTGTTTATCTTATATACACTCTGTGAGAGAGATTACTCACTCATCATTGATTACATTAGTGTGATACTTAAGAGTGTGGACTCTTGAGTGGGCTTGTAACCTTACGGGAAGTAAGGGGGAGTGATTGAGTGAATCAATTACTGTACTGAGGCGCCAAGAGCCCAATCAATCTTGGAAGATAGTGAAATACTCAGATGTGTTCTGAGGACTGGACGTAGGTCAAGTGATTAAGACTGAACCAGTATAAACCTTGTGTTTGTCTCTCTACGGTGAAATCTTCCTAAACTTACACTCTCTGTTTTCAATAGTATTTATTTTTAATTCCGTAAATTTTTTAACTCACCCAATTCACTCCCTTCTTGGGTGAGACTGCCACTAACATTTGGTATCAGAGCAGGTCTCTTCAGGAAAAGAGTTAACAGTCCGAATGTTTATTCATCACCTTCTCGAGGTCTAAATCAATCTTAATCCATATATAAAGATCTCGCAACTATTGAAACACATAATGGATTGACTTATCCATACAATGGCTAAGATTATCCTAGAGAAAATCAATTATAGATATGGATACTTTGAAATATCATACATACAATGTTCAAGATATTTTCATTTGAATAAAGCAAACGATACTTTGGGAAAAAAAATCATAGAGATGATACTCTAAAGTCATGCTAATAAGAATCAAAGGTATGTCATACATATGTTGGTTAGAGTTTTGTGTTGATAACGTATTATAAATAAAGAAGAAATAGAGAAGAATAAAAAAGAAGAAGAGAGGACCAACAAGAGAGAATCTTTTTCATTCCATTCAAGAGTTGCTAAATACATGATACATGGCCTTTATTTATAGACATAGCTTTACATCTTTGATAGAATCTACAGATTACATAATAATATAAGATAATTGTGGGATATAGAGATAATAGGAGATGTTGGAGATTATAAGAGATATTAGGAGATAATGGGAGATATATGGACATCCATAAAGATATTATTATATTCATAACAAGAACAATATTTCCACAAGCTCAATAACTAAATATTTATGAAGTTAATTTTTTTTAATGAAAAGGACTCACTCATCCATGGATCTAGCTCAAAGCATAGGCTTTTTAAGCATTAAGTTGTCCCAAATGGAACGAAAGAGAAAGAAAACTGAGTTAGTAATGAGAAGTTGAAGCTTGAATTTCCTTTGATTGTCGCTTTGGGGTCACTCCAAAAATTAACCGAATTAATGCAATATAGTGCACAACTCGGGTCGTTTCACTTTGAGGAGCCGAAAACGAAATTAAACCCTAGTAAATAAATGCAAGTAACCTAAACTATAAAAAGAGATTTTTGATTTTGAAAAGACTGCTAATTAAATACTACGAATCAAATTGAAATAACTGAAGATAAAAGAAATGAAAATGAGACACACAAATAACACTGATAAAAATCAATCCTCCAATTCAACAACGCAGGCAATCATCACTCTAAAAGATGTGGGAGTTAAAAACAATGAATTAAGAATTATAATTAAGCTTTTGATCTAACAACCGAGCCACCTCGAGTTGCTACAAAATATTTTCCTAAAATTCCAATTTACTAACTGCAACCAGAATAGTAAAATGGGATTAAGGATGCTAAAAACCAATGCTTAATTAGAACTTTTAAATCCAAAATAACAGAATTAAAGCTAGCAAGAGACTATATGATCCAAAATTCTAAGCCACCTTAGAAAATCACAATATATTAACTCCAAAATCAATATAAATGTCATAACCACAACATCATAATTGAAATCAAAGCTATAAACAGCCCAATGTCAAATACTAAGCAATAATCCAGTCACAATAATCCCCAAATATAATCAGATTAAGCAATACAATTATCTCAATAATTAGAAAAACTATCCTAAGACCTAGGAATTGTTAAACAATTATTGAGTAGGAAATTAAAGCAACTAAAACTCCCCCTTGATGATCCAAGCTCCTGCCATTATTGTTGAATTAGAGAATTATGGGATTAGCCACGCATAGCCATGGAAAATGCTATATTCAATCTTCCGCCGTATCCAGCCATGGAGAACACAATTCACGCCGTCGCCGTCGAGCTCTGTGCGCGCCGCCTCAGCTTGTTGTCTCTGCTTCCGTCCGGCGTCCGTCTTCAGCTTCCGTTCGGCCTCCTCTCAGCTTGTTGCTCTGTTCGTGCTCCAAGCGTATCAGCTCCGGTGTGTTCCAGCTCGTTCGACGTGCTCTGTCGCCGCCGTTCAGCTCTGTTCGCCGTCGTGTGCGTGTGTTCGGCCGCGCCTGCGTGTGTGCGTGTTCAGCTTCCGTTCGGCGTGCTCTGCTCTGCTTTTCCGCTGGTGCCGCTGTGTTCAGGAGGAGAAGAAGATGAAGACTCAGGGGAGGGGAAGTGTGATTGCCGTGAAGCTTGGTCCTTCGTTCCCTCTCACGCAGCTCCAGCTTTCCTCTCGTTCGGCCGCCGCTCTCCTCTTCGTTCGTGTATGTCTGCGGCGCCCCCCCCAGCTCCAGCTGATGATGATAATAATAGATGATAATTAGGTTGGGGCAAAACGCAACGTTTTGCCCCCCCTAATTATTATTATTATTTTTTATTTCTTTTTTTCTTTTTTTTTTTTCCTTTTTATATTTTTGAATCTTCCAAGAACCTGCAAGCAAAATTCAAGGATAAGGTAGCATTAATTGTCCTCAAAAATTAATTAGTCACAATTAAACCAAAATATGACAATTTTGCCCCTATAAAATAATAATTCAAAATAAAATAAAATAAATCAATTACGGCAAAAAGGGACCAATTAAGCTGACAAAACTCATATAAAAGATACCAAAATATATAAAAATAATTGAGTTTGTCAGAAGTTTTAACCCTACAAGTGGTTCATTATCATAGCAAAGACCATATTTTCATTATCACAGTATTATATAGACTACAAAGTAATCAAAATATACATTAGTGATGGGAACAAGCTTTGTTGCTGTACAAAATGTAATTTCATTTTCATTGCATTTGTCTCATAAGAGAAAATACCCCAAAAGAACGATAGTGAGAAGCTTTCGTGGATACATTATCCCTCCACAAACATATATATCCAAAATCTAAATTTGATTGGTGCATACCTCAGTCTTACTCTCCATTCCATCAGAAGTTGCCTCTAATTATCTCCTCCTATATGAATATTTTATTTTAGTAGTATCATCTTGGTTTAAAATTAAAATACCACTTAGTTGACGTCAATAATACACCTAAATAATACCACTATATATAAATACTCTATATATATATATTGATGGTGCATATTGATTGTCTAATTAAAAAAAAAAAGGAAATAATGCATGTACAATAGTTTTGAAAGGAAGCAAAACATATCACAGAATTAACATGAAAAGAATTTAAAAGCAATGCTAGCTGTGCAAAATTGTTATGTCTAAAAGCCGAGAAGAGTTGCATAATGTTGAAGTTATATGATTCATTCACTACATAATCAATCTGTCGGTGAAATATTTACTAACCTGTTTGGCAATATGATGAAACCACAGTTTTGGGATCCAAAGGTTTGGGTCCCAAATTTGCCAAATAGGGGGAGAAATTAACAAACCTCGGTTTTGGACTCAAAACCATGGTTTCAAAAGAAGTGAATCCATTCTGCTTCTGGCTAAAATTGGAGAGTATGATTGTGCCTATCAGAGTAGATCTCAATGATAATATGACTTTAACATTCCTCAATTATTTTTTTATAAACATATTCAATCTTATATTTTATAAATATATACACATATTAATTACTTATTAATTACATTATCTTATATATTATTAATTATGTTGGTAAAAATATATTATTAATAATTTTATTCCTTCAAATTAAAACATATTATAAAATCTATCTTTTATGTAGTTATCATATTAACTTATGCCTTTTTTAGTAATTTGCACATATAAACAGTGCTTCTGATAACAACTATCCAAACACTCTCATTTTATCAGAATCACTTTTTTACAAAATTTATTCTCCCAAGAATCTATGTCCCAGAAGCTATTCTCTAAACCATGGTTTGGTTTCATCCAAACACTCCTCAAGAGGAAAAGAAGTTAAGAAAGCACTTTTTGCAGTATTGTCAGGGGCCTTCGAAGATATACTTATGGCAGGATTTTTAAAAGTATGTGGCAAAAAAATATGACTTAAACACCCCTTAAAGTTTGATGTGTACTGACATATTATGATTAAATTTATTAAAATTCTTTTTCCCAACATTGTGATGAAAATATTTTGCGGGCGATATAACTAATTAAAAAATGTAAACAAAACAGGCAATCTTTAATTTTTACTTGAGGAGGTATGTTTTTGTCATCTTTAATACCTTGTTATGTATTTGGAAACCAACCAAACAGGTATAAATTTGAATATAGTGTTTTTTTGGTTAATTTTTATTGTTCATTCTTTCTAGATCGTCTCATTCTTTTTCTTTCTTTTTCCTTTTGCCGTAACTGATCTGCAGTCTGGACTCTGGTGCTTTAATGGGGTCTGAAAAAGTAGCCTAGAATAAATGGGTATAAGGATGAGAAGATATTCTTGTTGCTGAAAAAAAAAAAAGGAATATAGTATCTTTTGTCACAACAATATAAATAAAAACAGATTACGCACAGTTTTAGTATTATGATTGTAAACTAATATTATTTTTTAAAATATTAATTTCGATGTAGTCTGAATTTGCAATTGTTCAACGAGCGTATAATCTATTTTATTAAATTGAGCCTTCAATTTATTTTAATTAGGGAATTTTCAAAATGAAAATACATCCACAAAAATAAATTTATAATAACAGCTAAGTGTAAAATTGTACTTCAAAATACTTTAGAGTGTTGGAGTCTAGATGCACCTAAAAAATACTTTAAGGTGCTGGACAAACCACAAAATACTTTAGGATATTTGATACACCTTTATCCTATAAAAAATTAAGATCTCCAAGATGGATATATAAGTAACAGCTGAATTTCTTTAAGACGAGCCAAACAAAGATATCGACAAAACACTAAATCAAAATATATTCATGTTAATAACCCAACAAATAGTTGAGCATAAATGAAATCAGCACGGTAGACTATTCAAACATTAAAGTTTTTCCCAAAACAAGTTGATTAAATAAGCGAGCTAAGAAAATTACGCTAGTGATGAAGAAAAGTTTTGATTTTGTAAGTGGTCTGTTATTACATAATTAAGGATCATATTTTCATTATCATTTGTATTGTATAGGTGATAAAGTAACCCATAAAATTCGTTATTAGTAATGAGAAGAATGTAACTTTGTCGTCTCTTTAGAAAATATAATTCCACTTCTTGGCCACATTTTCATTTTCTTGGCATTATTTTATTTATGGTCAATCTTGTAGGCCATATATATAGATGATACCTCCAAAAGAACATTAATTACTATTGGGAAGAAGCATGCATCGACAAATTGTCCTTACCCTTCACAACATATCTATCAAAAGTCTCTTTAATTCATTGGATGGATGCATTGGTAAATGAACTGCTTGACTTGTAAGTCGACCTCAAACTCGGACTCCATTTTACACGAAAAAAAATTTCTTGATACCATTTTTTTGGGGAAAAATCCCATATAAATACCTATTGAATTCTAAAATTCCAAATAACTCACTCTAATTTCATAAAAGACAAATAACTCTGGAGGTATGCATCTGGGATTTGAAGTTTTTAACAAGTTACCTACATGCCCTTTCTTTCACTCCTTTTTTGTCAGATCAAAGAGAGTTCTCTCTCTCTCTCTTCAGATTCTTTTCTCTCTCCCTTACGATATTTCCAGCGCCCTTCTCTTCCAAAATGAGTACAGATCCTCACTTCCAAATCGTCCCTATCCGAACTTCCAACTCCGTTTCGCTTGTTTAGGGTTTCTTCAAACTTCCAACTTCTAAAATTATTTTAAATTACCTCTACGTTTCTCATGTTACCATTCTTCAATCATACAATGGGCTACTTCTCTATTTCTCTGGCTTCATCATACCACTTGAAGAACACATATATGTAATCTGGGCTTTCTCATTCCTCATTTGAATATATGTAAAGTAATTGTTGTCACAGGGCTACTGGTTTTTGGTAAATACCATCATTTTAATGGTCAATTCTATTACAAATGAAGTAAATCATGAAAATTATTGTTAAGAAGTTTATTATGACGTACTTTAGGTATACTTATCGATTATCTACTAATTTCTCAGAATATTTACCTCATTGTTTAATTCTCCCAAAAGGTTATACTTGGTGGAAATTGATCAAGTCAATAGTATGAAAGTGGTCAAAAGCATTTTTTAGGTTGTCAATTAGGTTACATGTCTAGTCAATTTGTCTAACTCAGCCCCCTCCAAAAAATTTGCACTAAGTCTAGAAATGACTAACAAATGTTGCAAAACGTGTTATGAAAATAGTCATATGCATTTCATAAGTTGCTAATCATGTTACACATTTAGTAAGATTGTCTGAAAATGACTAGTAATAAGTTGCAAAATGCATTATGGAGATAGTCAACTTCATTTTGCAAGTTGTCAATCACATTACATGTTTAGTATTGCCTAGAAATTGCTAATAATAGATTGCAAAGCGTGTTATGGAATAATCAAATCCATTTTCCAAGTTGTCAATCACATTCCATATTTAGTAAAATTATCTAGAAATGGTTAATAATAGGTTGCAAAATGTCATGAAAATGGACAAATTCATTTTACAAGTTATCGATCATGCTACATATTTAGTAAAATTGTTTAGAAATGGCTAATAACAGGTTGTGAAATATATTATGAAAATGGGTACTTTCATTTTGCAAGTGATCAGTTACATTACATGTTTAGTAATTTTGTTCAACTCAATCCCTTGAGTTTTGCCTGGTTTGTAAATGGCTAATAACAGGTTGTAAAACACATTATGAAAATGGTTAAATTCAATTTGAAAGTTGTAAATTACTTTACAAAACCTGTTGATGCTTTTCATTTTACTTTAATGGCAATTTAGTCTTTTTGCCAAACTTTGTAAATCCCAGATTCCTACATCATACCCATTAGGTCCTTTCACTTATTTACATGGCCTATTTGTCTTTTTAAATTTCAAAAGGTATTTTTGGGTCATTTCTCCTTTAGTTTACCCAAAGGAAAATACAACAATTGACTTCAAAAACACATGAATAGTTCATAATTTAATTTTTTTTCGAGATTTTATATATTGTATATGGCAAAAAAGAGCATGTATTTTTTTATGTATATTTTAAAAGACAGACTCTATGATGATACAATTTCTACACTAGAGACTTGAAGGGAACATTATGTGCAATTTTTTTAAAGCATTTTGAAATATTATATTGAAGGATAACATCCTAACAAAATTAAATTTGGTTTAGTTTATATGAATATAGGATGGCACATACGTTAAAGGAGTAAGGGGTTTGAATTTTATTGTTGAAATGAAAATCGTTCTAGCGGTTACTCTCCATTTGAATGGGAAGAAAGAAAGAAAATGGAAAGAGAGAAAATTGGGAGAAGAGAAAAATGAAGAGAAAATATTATCACCCCTCCTGTTTGGATGGATAAGAAAAAACACGAAGGAAAGAAAATGAGTAAATATATGAATGACTAAAATACTCTTACTCTTATATCAAAATGTATCATGATTAAAATCAAATTAAATATCATAATGAAAAACTATATTGACATTAACATCAATTATCATATTATTATATTTTAATATCAAATTATTTTGTGAAAAAAATATTTTTCTTCTACAAGAAAAAATAACATTGTGTAATGCTATAAAAACAACCAAAACAAGATCTAATAGAAACGAACGATGTTTTATTTTTCGTTGAAGCAGCATGTTTTAGTGATATTTGATTACCTTTTGTATTTGGAGACCAAACAAATGTATGTAAATTTTAATATATAAAATAATTTTTTTGGTTATATTTTATTGTTCATTCTTTAAATATCTTCTTTTCTTTTTTGAAAAACTGACCTAGCCTTACTAGAAGGGGTCTGAATAAGTCGTTGCCTCCGTCAAAAAGGGTCTTACGACAAGATATTTTTGTCATTAAAAAAGATAAAGCGCAAGATATTTTCTGTAAATTCTTTGCTTAAAAATTTCAATATTTTGATTCGAATTTCCATTTATATTATTGAACCATTAATTTAATATCAATATTGTAGCTGAATATTGGTTGGAATAAAATTGTAAAAGATGGACTTAAAATCGATCCATAAATATTACATATACATATCTAAAATATCTGTTAGTAACGCGCACACATATTATCACCGTGTGTTTTTAAAATTCCAAAAGCATATACATTTTGAACTCAAAAAAAGTAGCATTTTTGTAGGGAAAAATGTGTTCACAACTATTATTATTATACTACTACTACTAGCACCACCACCACTAGCACTAGTACCAACACTTTCACCACTACCACCACTACAATCACTACTACCACTAGCACCATCACTACCACCATTACCACCACTACTACTACTACCACCACTACAACCACTACTACTACTACCACCACTACAACCACTAGCACTAGCACCACCATTATCACGACTACCACGACTATAACCACTACCGCCATCACTACCACCACAACCACCACCACCACCACTATTACTATTATTACTATTATTACTACTACTATTATTACTACTACTATTGTTGCTGTTGCTAGTGCGATGTTGAGAATTTTGAAGTAGTATTGTAACTACTCGTAAAAATGTCTTCCCAATAAATAATGGCGATTGTTATTTGTTATCAATGAAAAATTAGGCATAAATTTCATGTAAGAAAATCAGGCAAAAAAATTGATATTTACAAGGTAAAATTTCACATTTATAAGTAAATCAATTTGTAAAATGTAAAATTTGTAAAGAAAAAGTTGAATTTCTTAAGGCCTCTATATATTTAATTTTCTAATGTGGTTCATGTGAATAATTTTCCATTTAATCAAACAAACTGCATCTTTGAAGAACCACAACCCAAACTACAGAGATTTGCAATCGAAAACTTAAAAGTCCCCTTATCAAAAGAAGTAATAAGTAAATTGCAATACCCCTGAACAAAAATAAAGATATTAATTGAAAAATTGAAATAAAGGACCTAAAGGGAGTGATATTTATCAAGGAGGATGTTAAAAATTATAATTATTTAGAAAGACTAAAAATTAAAATAAAGACCTCCCAATATGCGAAATTGCTAAATGGGTTCCTCAATATGAAAAATGGCTTCAGGAGACCCGGTCCTATATTGCAAATATAAAATGATGGTGAAATGTCCAAAATGCCCTTCTTCTTTTTTTCTCTCTCTTTCTTCCTCTCCAATTCTCCTTCCCTTTCCTTCTTCTTTTCCTCTCTCTCTTCGTCCTTCTCTTTGCTAGTGGCTTTACCTTCACTGTTCGATGTAATAACACCAGCTTTGACAGGTTTATAGTACTTGGAATTGTGATGGTGCATTAGGGCAGGATTGGAAGAGGGTTTTAAGGATTATGGAGGAGGTTTTTGGGATTTAAGAGATCTACAAGGAGTTGGGAATTGGGATCAGAGGAGGAGTGGTGGTGTTTACGGTGGGGTTAGAAGGTGGTGACATCAACAGTAAGGATGAGAAGGGGTTGGCAAGTAGTAATGTGACAATCATCATGAAAGCTTTGGAAAAGGTGGAGTTTAATGTAAGTTCCTTATAAATATTGAAGCTGCCACTGAAACGGATAGGAATTTTGAGCTTGCTGTTACTACTTGGTATTCGAAGAGGTTGTTAGTTTTAATTTTCATATGTAAATGATTGGGCTATGGTATAAAATTATATTGAATGCAAACGTGATTTTCCTATCTTTTGCTGGTAGCTTCATAATATATTTCAAACATGATTTTCTACCACTCTTTTGAATTCAAATGGCTAATTGCAGAAATTGGTTGCTGTTATTTTAACACAGAATCTTAAATTCCTATGAATTGCTTATTAGAAGTTGTCATTCGTCTGACTAAACTTGTCATTCATTTTACTGAACTTATCATGAATTGCTTATAGGAACTTGTTATTTGTTAAAGAAATCTGAAAATTCTGTTATTTTAACACAGAAACTTAAATTCCTATGAATTGCTTATCAAAAGTTGTCACGTCTTGCCAAACTTGTCATTCGCCAAGGAATTGTGAAAATTCTGTCATTTTAACACAGAAACTTAAATTTCTATGAATTGCTTATCAGAAGTTGTCATTTGTCTCAGTAAACTTGTCATTTGTTTTACTGAACTTGTCATTAATTGCTTATTAAAACTTGTCATTGGCTAAAGAAATATGAAAATTCTGTCATTTTAACATAGGAACTTAAATTCCCATGAATTACTTATTAGAAGTTGTCATTCACCTTGTTAAACTTGTCATTCGCCGAGGAATTATGCAACTTGTCATTTTAACATAGAATCTTAAAATCCTATGAATTGCTTATCAGAAATTGTCATTCGCCTTACTAAAATTGTCATTGCCTTACTGAACTTATCATGAATTGCTTATAAAAACTTGTTATCTGCTAAAGAAATCTGAAATTATGTCATTTTAACATAGAAACTAAAATTCTTATGAATTACTTATTAAAAGTTGTCATTCGTCTTACTAAACTTGTCATTCACCAAGGAATTGTGCAAATTGTCATTGTAACACAGAATCTTAAATTTCTATGAACTACTTATTAAAAGTTGTCATTCGTCTTACTAAACTTGTCATTCACCAAGGAATTGTGCAAATTGTCATTGTAACACAGAATCTTAAATTTCTATGAACTACTTATCAGAAGCTATCATTCGCCATACTAAACTTGTCATTCACCTTACTAAACTTATCATAAATTGCTTATCAAAACTTGTCATCCACTAAAGAAATCTAAAAATTATATCATTTGAACACAAAAACTTAAATTTCTATGAATTGCTTATTAGAAGTTGTCATTCGCTTTACTAAACTTGTCATTCATCTCACTAAACTTGTCATGAATTTTAGTTTTTGATCAGCATGAAGTTGGTCTTTCAAGCCTAAGTGGAGATTTTGTTCTATAAGTCATAGATATATTATATCAGCATAAGATGAGGTTGTGAAATAAAGAGAGATTGTGGAGAATGAGAGCTTTTATATGAAGAGTACTATATCAGCATGGACATTTTGTGTGATTTTGCCTACCAAAAAAAAAAAGATAACAGATTTTTCAGAAATGACTATTTCTATTTTACATTTTGCCAATTATATTGAAGCTTTTTCCTACTATTATTTCGAAAACTTGCAAAGAATGTCATGGTCTGAAAAGGGAAGAGATGCTCAACATGTTTCGATGCATGGTTTGTAAGATGGACAACTAGAGAAATGCTTTAATTCTTATAGTATTCATAATTTGTAAATAGCACAATTTATTATTACAAACTTTATTGCGTAAATTTATATATATTTTTTGGACAACTGTGAATATTAATATATTAAATTATAGGAAGCAAACATGAGATCGAAAGCTATGATAGAGTCAGTATTTCGAGTCTTTGTTGAAACGTTGTGTCGATAATGTTTCTTCTTACTAATCTAGAAATTAGAGATTAGAAAAATTGATTGCGAACAATAAATTCACATAACTAAATTTAATTATGAAGTTACTTTTTTTAAAATAAAAATAACTCATTCATTCTCCTCAAAAGTATAGGCACATGCAATGACTTTTCAAACAATAAATTATATCAAAAAAAAAATGATGCAATGAAAAAGAAAGAAAATTAAGTTAGTGATGAGGAGAAACTTCAACCCTACAAGTGGTTTGTTATCACATTAAGGACAACATTTTTATTACTACGACGTTGTATAGGTCATAGAGTAGCCCAAAATATACATTAGTGATAAGAATGAGTTTTGTTACTTTGTAAAATGTAATTTAATTTCACTTCTTAGTACGTAAGAGAGAATACCGCAAAACTATGTTAGGAAGAAGAAGTTTGCGTGGATACATTGTTCCTTCACTTATATGAAGAGTACTATGTTAGCACTACATGTTTTGCAGAAAATTAAATATGAAATCTCCACGGTTAACATCTTTTCATTTCTCCCATTTTTTCAGCAGACCAAAAGAAATTTTCCTCCCTGTCTTTTAATAATTAGACAGACAAAAATGCTGGTTTCTCTTTTCATCACACGTCCTCTCTCCCTCCGTTGCCAAGAAAAGGTAAGGCATGTAAACACAATGCCATGGCCAAATTGCAAAAAGGCATCTCTCATGATAATATTTAAGTTTGGCTAAAAGGCAGATTAATTATTGGCATAGGGACTTGAGAAATTTTTTTCATTTTGAAAATAATGTCTTAACTTTAAAAAGTTTAAAATTTAATTTAACAACATAAATTATAGACATTATACAGTTTTTATTTGGCCAGCACATAAAGATATCTGTTTTATATATTTGATATTTTATGCATTTATAAAAATACCCAAAGTCTTTAAACTGTAATCTCTCTCTCTCTTTGAGCGCATTTTGAATATTTGCATGGTTTTTTTAATATTATTAATAGATGAACATGTAACCATAAATTGAATTTATTGATACTTTGATTTATAAATTGTAGGGAGGGGCGTGAACTAATGATACGTTTGGCCAGCTAAAAATAGATATATAAATAGATTATGCTGATTTTTAAAAAAATCTCAAAACAAATAGAACAATATTTCTATAAACTCAATAACTGAATAATTATTTTTTTTAATGAAAAGGACTCATTCACCCATCCACCTCAAAAGAGTAGGCACATAGCATGATAAACTTTTCAAATGTTAAGCCGATGCAATGAAAGTGAAAGAAAATTAAGTTACTAATGAGGAGAATTTTTTACCCTACAAGTGGGGGTATTATAATATCAAAAACCATGTTTTTATTATCATCATATTGTAAGGCCTCAAAGTAATCCCAAAATATATGTTAGTGATGAGAACAAGCTTTTTTATTCTATGAAGTGTAATTTCAATTATTAGACCACACATTTTCTTTTTCATTGCATTAGTCTTAATTTGATAGGAAATTATCATTTGATAAAAAATTTGCGAGTATAGCAAATAATAAAAATCTTAGTTTAAAAAATATTACTAGTGTGTGTGTGTGTGTATATATATTAATGGTCGAGTGTTCGAACACTAAGTTATCCCCAAAAAGAAGTTGATGTAACAAAAGAGGAAGAAAATTACATTCATGATGAAGAGAAATTTTGACTCTACAAATAATATGTTATTATATCAAGGACCATATTTTTATTATGACTATATTGTATAACCCATAAAGTAACCCAAAATATACGTTAGTGATAAGAAAGATTCTTTGTCACTTTATGAAATGAAATTTCTCTTCTTGGTCCACATTTTCATTTTCATTGATTCAGTCTAATTTGAGAAAGTAACTCAAAAAGTCTTTAGTTTTAATTTGATTGTATGTATTACATTTCAAAAAGATACATCTAAATAATACCACTTGTGTGTGTGTGTGTGTGTGTGTGTGTGTGTGTCTGTGTCTATATATGTAATATTTTGGTGTATATTGATAGTCTAGTTAAAAAGAAGAAATGTCTATACAATAAATTTCAAAGGAAGTAACACATAATCACGTTGTTTACGTGAAAAGAACTAAAAGCAACGCGGTGTACAATTCTTACGTCTAAAAGCAGAAGGTTGAATAATATTAACGTTATAAGATACATTCACTACACAATCAATCTATAATATAAATATTTACTAAATGGAAAAAGGTTAAGAATAAGCATTTTTTAAAGTACAGCTTTTTCTCTGCATATTTCACGGCGCAGAATCATCAATCTAATAATCCATTCTTAAGCTGGATACTAACAGGAATTACCTTATGCAATTTTAAAGAAAAAAATTTGAAAAATTATATTGAAGGAAAAGATCGATCCTAACAGAATTAAGGTTGGTTTATTTTGAGAATATGACTTAATATGTACCAAAATGAATTCCAAGTTTTTTGCTGATGTTTCGAACAAAGTTATGATTTAAACATGCTTTGAAATTTGAGACGTAATCTATTACTAAACTTTGTTTAGTGATGTAAGCAAAATTCTAAAAATCCAGAAATTAGTGTTTTTCAATTTAGGCACCTAATACTTCAAAATAACGGAGAAGGAAGTATACCGAAATTGAAATTTTAAATTTCAAAGGAAATGACATAAATGTCCCCTTATTAATCTAGGAGCAGACTTTCATTGTTGAAAAGAAGCTTGCGTGGATATATTGTTCCCTCAATAGTATATATGCATTTAGTTTATTTATATATTTATTTTTAATTTTTGGGTAAGACAATTATTCCTTTTTTAAAATCACCATGTATGAAATCTAAATTTGAGAGTAAAGAAAATAGTAAAAAGGTTAGTATAAAAAATACTACTGGTGTGTGTGTATTAATGGTTAACCATGCAAACATTAAGTTGTCCTT